ATATATATATTAATAATATATATATATATATATATATAAAGACAAGAGGACTGAAAAATGCCAGTATATAAAAGCAATGACCGCTAGAGCTTTCGTACGCACCGAGCAGACTTGACCGACAAATGAACTATCGTGGAATCCAGTCATTCATATCAACCCCAAAGCGGCGAACGTTCAGCTCGTAGAAGAATCTGTATCAATACGTCGGCAAATAAACCGGAGGTCTTAGCTGACAATCCACAGCTGTCACTCCGATTTAACACATCCAAGCTTGGACAGATACGCTAAAATCCACGTTACATGTAGGCCTAAAACTTCCGGATGCTATCTGTTGGATAGAAAGATGGACTATGCAAAGGTGAGTGGCTCGAAGGGAAATGTGACTCGTCCCACTTTATATCACTAATCAAATGTGGCAAAGTTACATGCTAACTTATGCGGATTAGACATGGTTTATTGCGAATTAAAAAATCCGCCCAAAATACGTGAAAAAACATGGAAGTTGCTGCTGTCTTAGAAAATGATGGATGACACGTTGTTATGTCGCTGACGGAGGATATACGGAACAATTGTGAATGCGGTGTACAATCTTCTGAACTGGATCCGTACATCTATCCTCAGAAGCAATCGATCATTTTATTTGGCTTATCCTGAGTGGTCTATTTAAATAAGCTAGTTTTTTTCGGAACCTCGCCGGATAGTCCTAATAAACATATTAATCATTCAAATGCCAAGGAAGCGCTTGTGAAAATCTAGTGTGGCTGAGCATAGTAGTTTCGTGAGATTCCACAATTGGAATCACTGTTAGCTGGAAATGGACTCGGGCGGTTTTTAATCAACATGCCCTCGGTAGGTATCGAAACCTGGTACTTCAAAGGGAAGTCCAAGTGTGAGTCCAGCAGCTCTCCGTTCATCACCCAGCGGTTCCATGAACATTTACAAACATTTCACGCTGGACCAACACCAAACCTGAACTGAGAGATGAGTCATCCTTAGCTCAGAAACAGAAACGGAAACAGCGTGGTACTAACACAGAAAGCCTCAGCAAACAAGTCGCACGTGAGCACTCTTGGCTGATCGCACTGACGTGGCCCAGTAACTGCAGACCTTTTATGGTATTATTCCATAGTTCTGTCATTCATTGTAAACGCGTGCTCGCTTACTGCCACCCGACACCTTTTATACCGTCACCTGTCGCCCAGGAAGGGCGAAACAAGTAGTGGGCCATCGAAGAGTTCTCAGCAACCTCATGAGTAATGGGGTACGTATATACAATGAATCGGTCAACATTTATGACAAGCGTCCTTCATCCAGAAGATACACAGAGGAAGTGCAGAGGACTTGACCAAGTTAAATTGAATGGCCGTAAATTACCTAGCAAAGCTACATTGCTTCCAGCTCGCCGAAGGATAAGACATTAGAAGTCTAGGTATTGGAAGCAATGGTCTAATCCGCATCCTTGCTGCTTCATTAAGTAGGAGAACATACAGGTACACACTGAGGGGGATAGTTTGATTCAGGCGTATCACTGATATGTGGATGAGCTATGATTGTCTAGGTCAGCTATTTGAGCTGACTTAAATTTACGAGTAGTCACTGGTGTATTCGGTATGCACAAGCGGACGTCCATGGCGCGTCACCACAGAATTTGAACCCCGAATTTTTAAGGGTAGGCAAAGAAGTTTCAAGAAGTATATCTATATAGAGTTGCAAGCTTACCTTGCATAAATAGCAGTGGTAAACCCGGGTGAAAGTTTTCCGAGGGTCGTGGACGCCCACAGCGTTTGATGTACAGTGCCTTCATAAGGGATAAAAATCTAAAAGGAACGTCTTTGACCACTAGTAACAAGCAGCTCTCATGAGAGGAGAGATGACCGTTGTTGGTCGCCTGTAAGAGTGGCGCCTCCAAAACACCTGACTCAGAGTTACGGATACATTGTACCCTCGAAAAGAGTGCAACTCCATTTGATTCTCTCGGCAATAGATGAAACTGTGTAAGATAATACAAGACAGCGTTTCGAAGCTACATCACTCATGCCACTGAACCCAAAACGGTAGTTCGGTTGTTCAACCGCCATGGTACATGCCTACATCGGTAGCTTACATCATTGTGCAAACGGACGACATCACACACATTCGCTCTTTTGCCATCGTACTTAAGATCCCGACTCCGAATTTGTCGACGTGGATGAAGTAGAGGCTCTGTACGATTCCATGGGGAACTGGAAGAATTCCGAACATGTTTCCTTTCCTCGTAGGTCAGCCAAACCCAAGACAGACAAGTGAGCCAGCAGAAATAATGCTAAAGTTCTAAGAAGGCGATCGATTCAACAGTTGTGGGGGACACCGATCCAAACACAAGCTTGAAGAAAATAGGGTCAAGGGCTGGCGACTGAATAAGGTAAAAACAGGCCAGATAGGTCAGCCAGTACGTGCTGAAGAGGTGCCCCATGAAGTTATGCAGTGGGATCAGTATTTGTTGTTCCAGCAATACGAAATTTATCGACATGTACGACGCGGATCTTCATCAAAGCTTGGTACCATATTAATGCCCCTCACTTGCCGTCGCTGTTTCCGTGAAAAAAGCGGAGATGGAAGTTATATGTCCAGGGTGTGCAGCGAATTAACAATACCAAGATTCTGTACACATGGTAAGAAAATCAAGGGACCGAGTGGGCAATTAATCCAAACTTGCTCAGAAATGTTTAACATTGCGGTAAGCGACAGGAACCGAAGATGAGTTCCGTGTGTTGCTGAAATTCTGTTGACGTGATGCTGTTGTGAAATACTGTTAGGAAACAGTCAAATTAAGTTTTCGACAGTCACAGACACCAACTTTTATCTCACCTTCAAAGCTAACTCCGGATGTTTGCGTTCTGTGAGTTCAATATCGCCCAGTAACAAGTAGGACTTCACGTGATCTGGATAGACCTGACGATAAATAACGTGCGAAAACAGGGACCTGTCACTTAATTCAAAAATGAGGACAGCCTAACGAGTGTATTTCGAAAACAACAAATATAGGATATGAGACAAAGCCGGCGAAACTCACTTCTGGATCCCTATTATGTGCAGAAAGAACGATAAATGGTGCACCATCAACAAGATATGAAAAGAAAACACCACTTGCGCTAAAAGTGGGCAGAATGCAATTAAATGGGAGGATAACCAAGAATCATAATATCACGCCAGACTGGTTGGCTCACGGTGCAAGCTAGAAGAGTCGTCGGTTCATGGTGCAGGCGGATAAACACAAATAACGTAAGAACACCGAGGAACGGCTTTCGTGCTGGTACTGCAAACGAATTAAAAAAAGCAGGCTCTAGACTGAAATAAATGACAACGTGGTAGGTGGCAGGGCACGGGAAGCTTTGCGAAAGACCTAAATACTCTATGCTTGTGCAGACCGCGATTGCTTCACGTGAGACGTGTTAGAATCACCACTGCGGTAAACTGCGCATTAGCTTGAGAGCAATTTTCTCCGCCGCAGTAAACGGGAAAGTGAACTAACCTGAATTATTCGCTCCAACAAAGGAATTGCACTCCCATAGTCGTTGAGCTGGTTTCTGGACAACAAAGCCAAGTTAAATAGAGCACTGCGATGATCTGGTTCGGCCTATAAAAAATAAGCAGGCAAAACGTCCATCGGACGGGAGCAAAACAATGAAAGGCTAGAACGCCAACGATGGGAATCAGAAAACAGGAAAGGTACAACCGGTGGGTTATGAATCATGGAAATAAATTAAGTGTTCACACCACCGGTAAACTTATATCAATACTTATTTCCTAAATAGCCCTCCTTCCACGTTAGTTGAATTACGTCGATTGGTCGATATCAAGGGGAAGAAACGTAAGACTTAAGTTTCACTCATGTTGTGGTTCAACAGCAGCGCACATTATTGAGAAGCCAACATACTCACTACATCACCAGTGAACACTGAATACAGGTGAACTAACCTGTATGCACTGGTGAATATGTCCGTACTGAACTTGGGTGTGTGGTCTCCGAACACCTTGAACAACGGACGACGCGCCTATCAGGGCTTCCCAGTTAAACGACATCACAGATAATTTTTGAAGAGCATTTAGAATACACACAATCTAAAGTGGGATCATAAGCTGACATAACTATCAGACCACAGTGGTATAGATTGGAAAAACAGCACTCCATTCCATGCGTTCAATAAGAACGACATAAAGAGATGTCCAAAACAGTGATATTCCGTTACGTAATGTGATTCTTGACGAAGCCATCCTTCAGCCAAACAACTGAGGGCGGACTATCCTATCAGCGGCATTCCGTTGTCTTAGTCAGTACTCCACTTTAGAACAATCAGGTACTTTGAACAAAGATGGACAGAACGCAAAAGCCTCAAAGCCAATGGTATGTTGGCTTAATCACGAGCGAGCACATCCAGTGAAGCATACAAAAGGCGACAAACAACACTGCCTGTAATCTTTTAGAAACTATTTGTTCTGCAATAATAGAATGATATTCCCCTCGAGTGAAGCGAGTTCTTTTTGGTATATTTCAAAAAGGCAACCGGAAAGGTTTTACTAAGGACGGTCGGTCGCATTATTTGGTAAATTTGCACCCACATCAACCTGTCACACCACAAACATCAGGTAATTACAAATATGTTCACCTGCTCATGAAGGATGAATCCGATGTATCCATTATAGGCTGTCAAAGTTTTGTTCTTCATACAGTTAAAAATATTCCCTACTGGTGAGGCTAATAAGTTCATTGCTCTCACGCTTTGGCGGAAATATCGTGTGCCATGACAGAACTCGTATCACGAGAGTGATGTGGATAACCAATTGAAGACCACTGCATGAGTCTCCCACCTGAGAACCTTCTGGTGATACATAGCGATCACACAGCGATGACTAACACAATCGGATTTACATTTCAGTTTACAACGCCTTCTTAAGGCGTCCAATATGGGGCATTGTTAGAATGTCAAAATCTAGAAAAGCTCAAGAGTTGCCGAATACCAACCAAATGCACACCAAGAATGGAAGTTACCTCGATCGTTTTGTAGTAATGTGAGGCTGCCTTTTTGAAGTTCTTTAGATCGGTCTCCAGCATTCCCAAGGCGAAGTGTACTTTTGCAAATTCATACCTTTGTTCAGCCAAGGTTTCGAGACTAGAAAAATAAGGAAAAATGCGAATTCCATGAAACAGAACCATAGGCTGCAACATTAAGTGGGGAAAACGGCAAACAAAACCGTGAATGATCTACAGTTGAAGAAACTCCTCCCATACCTTTACAACTACAGTCGCTAACTTTCGCTAAGGACAAACGAAGTCAAAGTGCTGCGTCCCTCTTTCGGAACGGTTAAAAACGTCTCCTTCTTGATAATTGCTGGAGTATTTCTCCAATGAGACGAACGGTCTGTTCGAGAAAAGTATATCCATCAGTAGCCCACTTGCCAATATACCTCCATACTTCGATATGCTGAATATCGATGCGGCTGAAACATGAGGCACCGCATACAAAGTAAAAAATATAAAACGAGATATCCATTTGAGTTAATATTCTAGTCTCAAGCTCAATTTGAAAATCAGCGTTTAGTGTAAACACAAGTCGGTTCTCGTTACTACCCTCACAATGTGAACTCACAGATGCTTCCCACGTTCCCTTTCAACAGGGTCGGTCGTTTCTGTGAGGGTAGAAGCCATGGCGAACATTGTTGGCTGAAAATGAATGGAAATTTGATGCTTGAAGTGACTTCGTTTAATAGACTGAAAGCATGACTACCAGTGAGAGGTAAACCAATACAAGTATCCTTTTTCTGTGCTGTGATCTCGAGAATTATATTGCAATCACGCTGTCGCACAGCACGCCGGTGGTACGCATATGAATGCTCTCAAGATCAGTCGGTTTACGGAAAAAGATATGTCTCGGACAATGCTTCGCGAATCATATCAGACAACTGACAGCGCAATGACGAGAACGTTATGCATTTGAGCATAGAAAAACTAGAAAAGAATCATCATGAAATCCGTCTTGCACTTTTTCCGACGCTATTAACCCGGTTAAATTGCTAACATTAAGGAGCAAATGGGTGGGAGGTAACAGTGGATTGCGGGGTTGCCATGACTGGACAGTGTAAAGGGAAGCTGCGGTCACAACAAGATTACTTCGATACACTTGGTGGCGTAAAACGTACCAGGTGTTCCGGATTGTACTTTAAGGCATTGTTCAGATAAAACAGGCCTTCAGCCCGACGACCGGACTCCAAAAGTACCACACCAAGCTGAAAATAGAAAGTGTGAAAGGGTTTAATTTAAATGATCCAACAGTTGTCCATCTGGGAAGACTTCAAGCTGGATTTAAACTCCCAAAACTCCGAGTCCTTATATATATATATATATATATA